TAAGGCAGTTTCATTCTAATTTTTTGAGGAAACTCCCTACTGTTTTCCATAGTGGCTGCACCAGTCTGTATTTCCACCAACTGTGCATGAACACTCCCTTTTCTCCACACCCTCGCCAGCTCTTGTTGTTTGTTGATTTACTGATGACAGCCATTCTGACAGGTGTGTGGTGATGTCTCATTGTGTGTGTGTGTGGTAATAATTTGTATTTCTCTAATGTCAGAAAATCTAAATAGTCCAAATAGAACAAATGAAATTGAAGCAATAATTTTAAAACTCCCAACAAACCAAAGTCCTCGAGCAGATGGCTTTTCAGGTGAATTTTACCAAACATTCAAAGAACTAACACATATCCTTCTCAAATTATTCCAAAAAATTCAAGAGGAGGAAAGATTCCCAAGCTCATTTTAGAAGGCCAGCACTATCCAAATTCCAAAACCAGGTAAAGACACTACAAAGAAAAAAATTATAGGCCAATATCCCTGATAAATGTAGGTGCTTAAAACCCTCAACAAAATATTAGAAAACTGAATCCAGCAATACATTAAAAAGATCATACACCATGATCAAGTGGGATTTATTCTGGGGATGCAAGGTTAGTACAATATCCAAAAATTCATAAATATGATATACCACATAAACAAAATAAGTGATAAAAATCACATGATCAGCCCTGGCCAGTTTTGTTCAGTGGTTAGACCATCAGCCCACGGACGAGAGATTCCTGGGTTCGGTTCCCGCTAAGGGCAAGTACCTTGGTTGCAGTTTGTCCCTGGCCCCGGTTGGGATCGTGTAGGTGGCAACCACTTGATGTGTGTCTCTCTCACATCGGTGTTTCTCTCTCTCTCTCTTCCTCCCGCTCTTCCTTGCGCATGTATCTGAAGACACATGCAAAAATGCCCTCCAGTGAGGATAAAATTTAAAAAAATCACATGATCATATCAATAGATATAGAAAAAGCATTTGATAAAATCCAGCACTCATTTATGATAAAAACTCTCAGCAAAGTGGGATTAAAGGGAACATACCTCAATATAATAAAAGCCATATATGACAAACCCACAGCCAACATCATATTCAATGGGCAAAAAGTAAAAGTGTTTCCCTTAAGAAAACAAAACAGGGATGTCCACTTTCACCACTCTTATTCAACATAGTACCAGAAGTCCTAGCCACAGCAATCAGACAAGAAGAAGAAATAAAAGGCAACCAAATTGGAAAGAAAGAAGTAAAACTGTAATTATTTGCAGATGACAAGATACTATATATAGAGAACTCTAAATAATATTTCACCAAAAAACTACTAGAACTAATAAATTCCGAAAAGTAGCAGGAACAAAATTAATATCCAGAAATCATTTGCATATTTATACACCAATAATGAACTAAAAGAAAGGGAAACTAAGAAAATAGTCCGATTTACAATTGTATTAAAACAAAAACAAAAACAAAAACAAAAAACACCACCTAGGAATAACTTTTAACTAAGGGTAAAAGATCTGTATTTGGAAAATTGTAAGACACTGAAGAAGATACAAATAAGTGGAAGTATACACTGTTTTCAAGGATAAGAAGAATTAACAACATTAATATGTCCATACTGTTTTAAAGAAATCTATAGATTCAAAGCAATCCCTATCAAGATACCACTGCTGGCCCTGGCCGGTTTGGCTCAGCGGTTAGAGCGTAGGCCTGCGGTCCTGAGAGACCCGGGTTCGGTTCCCGCTAAGGGCGCGTACCTCGGTTGCGGTTTGTCCCCGGCCCTGGTCGGTTGTGCGGGTGGCAGCCACTCGATGTGTCCCTTTCACATCGATGTTTCTCTCTCTCTCTCTGTTCCTCTCTCTCCCTCCCACTCTACCTGAACAAAAAATGGAAAAATGTCCTCGGGTGAGGATAAAAAAAAAAAAAAAAGATACCACTGCTGCATTTCACAGAACTAGAACAAATATTCCAAAAACTTATATAGATCCACTAAAGACCCCGAATAGCCATCACTTGAGAAAGATGAACAAAGCTGGAGGAATCATGCTACCTGATATCAAACTATACTACACAGCAACAGTAATCAAAACAGCATGGTACTGCCATAAAACAGGCACACAGATCAATGGAACAGAATACAGAGCCAAGAAATAAACCCACACCTTTTCGGTCAATTAATATTTGACAAAGAAGGCAAGAACATACAATGGGGTAAAGACAATCTATTCAATAAATGCTGTTGGGAAAATTGGACAGACATGTGCAAAAAATAAAAAATAAAATGAAACTATACCACCTTCTTGTACCATATACAAGAATAAATGCAAAATGGACACCATACTTATATGTAAGACTTGAAACCATAAACATTCTAGAAGAAACCATAAGCCCTAAAATCTCTGACATTTCTTTTAGCAGTCTTTTTCTGATATATCTCCTCAGGCAAGAGAAACAAAAGAAAAAGTAAACAAATGGGACTACATCAAACTAAAAAGTTTTTGCACAGCAAAGGAAACCATCAACAAAACAAAAAGACAACTTACTTAATAGGAGAACATATTCACCAATGATACAACTGATAAGGGGTTCATATCCAAAATTTATAAAGAGCTCATACAGTTGAACACCAAAAAAATCCAATTTAAAAAATGGGCAAAAGACTGAATAGACACTTCTCCTAAGAGAACACACAGATGGCCAACAGACATAAGAAAAGGTGCTCTGTGTCACTAATCACCTGGATACCCATTTTATTTATTTATTTATTTTCCTCACCCAAGGACATTTTTTTGGTTCAGATAGAGTGGAAGAGAGAGAGAAACATTGACGTAAAAGGGTCACATCGAGTGGGCCACCTCCCGCACCACCCCAACTAGGGCGGGGACGAACGGCAACTGAAGTACGTGCCCTTGACCAGAATCGAACCTGTGACTCATTGGTCCACGGGCCACTGCTCTAACTACTGAGCCAAACAGGCCAGGGCTGGATACCCTTTTAAAGACGGTAAACCACCACCAATCTAGCAGCCTCTTGCACATCCTGTTTCCTTCTCTGAAAGCTGACTGTAGTTTCTGAGGCTAAAATGAAACATGGGGAAGCCTCAAATAAACACTGAAACACTCTAGCACTTTGTAACAAAATCTAGATGAGACAGGCTAAAGGTTTATTTTTTTTTACCAGTTGTCAACCTCTGACTTCCGAGGCAGAAGTAGTCAGCGGCCGACTGCAGGGCGCACAAAGCAGGCCCAACCCACCAGAGGCCCAGCCAACAGAACTCTCCCGACAGAAGTGGCAGCAATTTGAGGTGACATCAAACGTGCTGATGTCTGACTTTCCTTTGTACCCTCTAACACAAGCGTATGAAGCATCTGTTTACGTATGTCTGCTAAAATGAAGATAAAAAATTTTACCACAAAAAAGTATTTTACATGTCCTGGCCTAAAAGCGGCCACCAACAACAGGGCCATTTTATACATACACAATGCATTCTCAAAAACAGGTATTTTACACAGCAGTCCTATCCTCCCTCCTCAGCCCCATTTAACTGGTTCATGCCTAACAACTCCACGTTTTACAAACTTTCTTACTTACAAGGGGTACATTTTGCAACAAACTTTCCTACTAGGCAGTTATGTGAGCGCACATGGCTCCTGAGACTCTCCTTTGATCCCAGTTACCCGTGGAAACTCCTGCCTTAAAAATGAAAGAGGCCCAGATTTCCTTGGGCCTGTTCTGTGATAGGAAGCTTTGAGGCTTTTACAATTCCCCTGTTCCTATAAGTGTTCGTGTGGGTCTAAAACTGCTTTTTAAGAAAATTCCAACCCTACCTACAAGAAAGTTCTAAGACAGTGGCCTTGTTTGTCTTCTTCATCGTTTTCCAGCACCCAGCACTCAGTGCCTGGCACAAATGACACAATACAAATGTGTGCCAAAAAAAAGAAAGGCAGAGTTTTCATTAGATTTCTTAATTTTTTTCACCCCTAGTTTAAGTTATTTTTAAGCATACAGTTGTGCCTTTGATCAATAATAAAATAATAATAGATACATCAGGAACTATCCTTACCCAACCAACCTAAGATCACCAGGGTTCAACAATGTTTAACAAGAGTCAGTTGACTGACTCACTGCTCTCCCTTCCAAACATTATCCCTAAGATTCACACTGTATTACTGCCATAATTTTTACTTATCTGGAAATTAAAGCCAGGTCCTTCCTCAAAGTCACATGGCTAGTAAATCCTTGTCCATCTAACCCCCAAGCCCTCACAGACCATCTCAAATACCTATACTCTAGGCCTTTGCAAACCCATCAAATGTTCCTTGAGACACTGTAAGCTAGTAGTGCACAAACTTTTCTTCTGGCCAGTGAGATGTGAGAAGTCAGGCAGTTGGGGTGGGGGTGGGGCATGTCTGGGAAAGCTTCTGCCTTCCTCCTGAAAAGGGTCAGGCTCAGCTGCCACAACCCTCCACCCTTCATCATTCTTATTCCTGCCAAGGCCACAGCCATGGTGCCTGTAGGCCCAGCTCCCACCTTGAGACCATGAGGTGCTCAACGTGAGGATAACAATGTGCTAAGGCAGACGGCACAGAGAGAGCAGAACGTGCCCGGGTCCCTGGCACCTGTTAGCAAATGCAGCAGCCCTGGACCATCGACCTCCAGACATCTTGTCACTGGACCCACATTAATCCATAATTATTTAAATCACCAGAATTGGATTTTTGTTATTATCAGTCAACTGCACTCCTAATTAAGGTGACAGATTCTCTGGTGATTGCCTGAAATTTCTTTACCTGAAAGTAAATAATTTCTTCTGGAAGAAAAGGGTTTTTTCCAATTAGTCACTGCCCCCACCATACACACTAGAACAGCATAACTGCCACACTCCTCATTGTGTGGTCCCAGAGCAGATCAAAGAAGTGCATCAACAAGTTTGTTTTTAAAGTAAGAGTATAAACACATGCAAGCTGAGAATACAGAAACCCCAGGCTAGGAAAGAACGTGTTCCAGCGGTACTCTACCTTAGCAATGCTGCTGGAATGACTCATGGAATGTCCCAAAGTCTTCTCATTCTGCAAGAAAATCAAACAGGTGATTAAAATGTGCAAAGAACAAGTAATTGATTACAACAATCCTAATAACAAATCATTCCCTCAGCTAGAATTTGCTGAACACAAACTGCTATGCACAGGTCAGCTAATATATACTGGAGAATTCGGCAAAGATGAATAAAACAATAGTCCCTGCCTTAAAGGAACGTAAATTAACAAGAAGAAAAAAAAACAGGAATTTGGAATTAACTGTAAAAATAAAGAGGCACTAAATATCTTGTGACACATTCAAGTGGAGGTTCATAGGCAAGAAACTGCATGTTCAGTTGTATGTGGTGTGGACCCTTCTAAGAGGACACCTGTAAAATGGGGTTAGGGGGGAGCAAGACATCTGATGCCACCTAGTTCATCTGGCTGTCCGAGTGCTGGGTACTCAACAGGGACATCGCACAGCTCACATCTGTTTCCTTAAGCTTGCTTCTCCTCCTGTATCAGAGAACTCTGTGCTAAGCTGGCTCCATCCCTCTCATGCCTCTCCACCTTCAATCACAGAATCTTACATCAAATTCGCCCTCCTTAACGTCGCTCAATCTCAAATATCTTCTTCATTTCTACTGTCAAAGTTGTAGTTTAGGTCCTCTTCATTTCTCACTTGGAATTTTTAAATAACTTCTTAACTGGTCTTTCTGCTTTTAAGATGACCTTCCTAAGACGTAACTGCTATGGACTGAATTGTACCCTCCGCCCCCAAATTCATATGTTGAAGTCCTAACCCTCAGTCCTCAGAATGTGATTATATTTGGAAATGGGGCCTTTAAAGAAGTAACTACATTAAAACGAGGTCAGGTATTGGGGTGAGCCCTGATCCAATATGAATGGTGTCCTTACAGAAGAGGTAGTTAGGACACAGATATACACAGAGAGAACACCATGTGAGGACACAGGGAGAAGACGACCATCTACAAGCCAAGGAAAGAGGCCTCAGAAGGAACCAAACCTGCTGACATTTCGATCTCAGACTTTTAACCTCCAGACTGAGAAAATTCCTATTGTTAAAGCCACCTTGTCTGTGGTATATTTTGTTATGGCAGCCCTAGCAAATGAATACAATAATCCTCCACACTATAACATTTAAAATGAGTGTTCCCAGTATAATCTGATGTTTAAAAATAAGAAAGTAACTTTCCCTGAATCCACTGACTCTTGTTCTAAACCCCAGTGAGGGAAGGGGGAAAACTTTTACACATGGAAGAGAGGATCTGTCTTGTATTTTGAAGAGCATCTATTCTCTAGTTAGGTAAGATGATATGAAATGACCATGGGGAAAACCAGAAAAGGTTGAGATGTAATTAGCAGGTAAAACTCTTTGGTCAGTCAGACATACAAGGAGCTGGTAGTAGGTCATCTAAAAACTCCTTCGAGAAAGAGTTGCTTCCGTTCCACCACGGCTCCCCTCACAGACCTACCAACCAATAAAATTTCAACTTTCCCCTTCCCCTCAACCCACCAAATTTACAGACTGTCATGACTTTTGTACACTTGACTTTTGAACATTTGATATGCCTGATATGCTGATGAAGAAATATGTCAAGCCCTGGCTGGTGTGGCTCAGTTGGTTGGGTGATGTCCCATGAACCAAAAGGTTGCTGGTTCAATTCCCAGTCAAGACACATGCCTGGGTGTGGGCTCAGTCCTCAGTGTGGGATGTGCAGGAGGCAGCCAGTTGATATTTCACTCACATCGATGATTCTCTCTCTCCCCCTGTCTAAAAATCAATAACAACTCTTATTTTAAAAAAAAGAAACATTTCAAGATCTCCCAAGTGGCCTGCCAGCCAGAACTTATTTTAACAATGTTGTCTTCTTTATTTTTACAGCAATGTATTTGTGCAATTTCTAGAATATTTTTATTTTATCCTCTCCTTATTTTATAAACCTGAGTGGAAACAGAAACTCGGGTCTCAAGTATAATACATTACAGACAATGCTATTAAGTGTTTAGCTTCAATGGAATATTTGTTAGTCTTAAGCTAGTCAATTAGTTATAAAACAAAAGAACAAAATTATAAAGTATACTTAGTGTGGGCAATATGTTACCAAAACTGTTTCTAAAAAAAGAAAAAAACTTAATTAGGAATTTCATTCAATCATCTTATTCACACATTCATTCACTCACCAGGAATGGAAAATCCCTCTGTCCACAGAACAGGTAAACCTATAACCACTGAAGTTTTATTCATGAGTCAAGATTGTGTTACAGACAAACACAGGACACTGCTGTGAATCCAGGCTTAACAGCTCATCTACTGAGGATTCACTATTAAACTTTCATTTAGTCTGCTAAATTAAAACAAAAATACTATACACCTTGGATTGTTTGTACAGAAAACCAATTATTACACCATCACTAGAAATGGCCAGTTTAAAACCATCTGGAAACCTACAAAGAAGTTCTGAGGTATGAAGTAAAGCAATAATTAATATTCTAGACCTTTCTGACATTCATTATTCCATAAAGAAGGAATATTGTGGTGCGGAGAGGCCTAGCAGTTAAACTAGGTAACATTATAAATTCAGACTGACAGGTAAAAGTTGTTCTGTACCTTATGAACTTGAAAAATAAATTTACTGATGTAAATAAGCCTTTATTCTGATTTCCTTGTTAGAATAATATAATACATTGATAAAATCAAACAAATAATTAGCCCTCAAAGATACAGATGTTTTAATGCCTGTCAATATTTAGGATTGCTTCTCTACTACTTGGTAGGAAATTAACAATTCAGTTCCAACAGACTTTTTTTTCCCACTTAAATATTGTCACATTTATTTGGACTTACTGAAAACTCTAACAAGTTCAGGACCCTAACAGACCTATTTTTCAACAAGCCAATCTCAGGATTCATTCAACTCAGTTACTCATTCATTCCATACTTATTTTGTATGTGACTACCAAATGCAAACAACTGCATCAGTCATCAGAATATGGACAAAAATAAATCTGACTCTGAGGCCTAGTCCAATGAACTGCTTTGAAACAGTATTTTGATGAGGAGCGTGCAATTAGGGAAGGACTAAAGAATGACATAAAAAAAAGCACATATACAAATTGTATCAGGATAGAGTAGGTGACACCACTCTCTCCTACAGTCATGAATGAGAAGGAAAGTTTACCAAACAACGTCAAGAACTAGAATTAGGTATTCCAACGAGAAAGAGTTCCATTCCAGTTCAAGCTTAAACTAAGTTTCAATAACCAAGTAGTAATAACCTTGGCAAATTATATTCATATAATCTTTAATATGTTCAGTAACTGCTTAATGGGCCCCACCATTCTGTAACCCAAGGAGAGACTGCAGCCTCACTGCTGGAGATAAGACAGTTACCTTCCTTCCGCAGAGACAACCAGGCAATGGCACTGAGACCACACACTCCCTGGACTGCCCTCACCTCCATGTATCTTTGGTGGGCTCTTTTCTACAGTGAACATGAATGAATGTTCCTTAGAATACAAGCTCCATGCCCTCTTCCCATTTATTTTCTCCCTTAGACCAGTGCTTCTGAAACGCTGTACTTGAATCAATTAGGGATCTTGCTAAAATGGAGACTGTGATTTGTTAGCTCTGAGTTGCACTGAGATTTTGCATTTCCATAAAATCCCAGTTGATTTCCAAGCTGCTGGTCTCCAGACCACTTTCACAGGCGAGTTTCATTCTAAATCCTGGGCCAAAATAATCCATAAATGCCATGACTAATTTTTCAAAAACTGAGGTATAACTGAATATGACTTATTTTTTAAAAAGTAAATCATAAATCATGACTACTGCACATCTAACTTTCTGTGTAAAGATGCAGTAAGAGCCCTGGCTGGTTTGATTCAGTGCTTAGAACGTCGGCCCATGGACTGAAGGGTGCTGGTTCAATTCTGGTCAAGGGCACATACCTGGGTTGCAGGTTTGATCTCTGGCCCTAGTAGCTGGGGTCGTGCAGGGCAAACAATTGATGTGTCTCTCTCACATCGATGTCCCCTCCCCCTTCCTTCCACTCTATCTAAAAATTAATGAAAAAATATCCTCAGGTGAAGATTAACAACAACAAAAAAGATGGCAGTGAGCTCACAAGTGCGTTAATACAAGTAACTCAATCACAAAACAGGCTGATGTACACATTAGGAAAGACTAAGTAAGTCTGTGGGTGTGAGAACAGTTTTGTTAATGTAAGAAGTTACCAGATCACAAAGATACAAATAGGCTCTGTTGGCCCAGCCAGGGTGGCTCAGTGGTTCAGTGTCAACCCATGCACCAAGAGGTCGCCGGTTCAATTCCCGGTCAGGGCACATGCCCAGGTTGTGGGCCCAATCCCCAGTGGGGGGCATGCAGGAGGCAGCCAATCGATGTTCTCTCTCATCAATGTTTCTCTCTCTCTCTCTCTCTCTCTCTCTCTCTCTCTCTCTCTCTCTCTCCCCCTTCTTTTCCCTTCCTCTCTCTCTAAAATCAATAAAGAAAAAGCTCTGTTGAAGAATAAAGGACACTTCACAATTTTATCAGTCCTGTGAATGCTTTTTTAAGTCAATGTGGGGCTCCAACAGAAGGAACTTTGAAGGTAGAACTGAGATGCAGAACCCACAACGACCAAACAAGCCCTGGAAAGTAGATGCCAAGAATTAACAAGAAGACAATGAGGTAAGATGTCTAAGCAAGTTTTAGGATTCTACATAAAGGAGTCAAACAATAGGACTTCATGTAGGTGTTTCCCTGAAACTCTGACCAGAACCCAGTCTTTAAAAAAACCTATGTGTAACAGACATTGTTAACTATCTATCCAATATTCATCCCCACCAACAGAACTCCAACTGTGTTCTGAGCAGCAACGTACTAAACTAAAAGTTCGCCCTTGTTCACACTATTTTGCAGTTAAGGGTAAATACATAAGAAAGTTCTCTGTAGCCCTGGCTGGTTTGGCTCAGCAGTGAGAGCGTCGGCCTGCAGACCAGAGAGTCCCGTGTTCAGTTCCTGCTAAGGG